ATTATACTCTCCAACAAATCTTTTCAATCCTATATAAAGGGGACTTGGAAGAATGAATGAAGCTGCTAATTTGTGTTATACTATGATATTTCTCAACGGTTTTGTTGAACATACTATTGTTGTGAATATAGATAGAAAACACACATAGAGCTTTTGTTCGTTATTGTGTGATTATTTCATTGTTCTTAAAATTTGTGTAATCTTATTTCTTAAAGCAAATTTGAAAACACAACTCTTATATCTCTTTGTTTGAGATTGTTTTCCTTAAGAGACTAGGTTGTTAGTCATGATTCTCAAGAAGACAAATATAGGTAGTATTTGTGTGTGGACTGGATTAAATTCATTAACAGTGAACCAATATAAAAATAATTATGTTCTTTTATTTTTACTCTTGGTTTTACTTTGAGTGTTTGGGCACTAAAAAGTTTTTATCTTAGAAACTCAATTCAAACCCCCTTTTTTGTGCGTTTCTTGTCACGTTTAATTGACATCAGAGCTCCGGTTCTGGTATTAATTGCGTAAAACATCAAATGTGAAACACTATGGCAAATATTCCACCACATTCTCCTGCTATTAATGATAGATATCACTACAATGTTAAACCTTATGTTTTTTATGGAGAAAGATTTGATTATTAGATAGACAACATAAAAAGCTTATTTCTTGGTCATGACGTTGATCTATGGGATAAGGTACCAGATGACTCTCATAATCATCAAACATCTCCTCTAACTGTCTATGAGTTAAGGGATGAGGAGCTGAGGCAGCAAGGTGTATAGGGATGGTTTAAGTGTACCTAAACTTCTGCATGACGCACTCGGGCAGATGTGAAGCAGTGAGACATGATACGCAGACCAACCATCAGAAGTATAAAACTATCTCATCAAATGGCCGCGTCTAATGATGATTCACGTAGTTGTTAAAGTGCATGTCCTCAGCAACCGAATGGTCAAGATAAATTCTAAAAGGCTCGACCGCCTAGTTCCTTATGCGTAGGATAAAAGCACAGGTACGCAACATATCCTCGGTATACTCAGGCAAACTCGCCCAACCAGCGATGTGCGGGAAGTTCTGGAGGATCCAAGCCTGAAATAAAAAGTTTGTAAAACATGAATAATTGGTTGTGGTTTTGCAATTAAATAATTAAAATGACAAAAAACATTCAAAGATCAAGAATTATTACCACCAGTAGTGTCAAGCTACCTGTGACTTGCTTCTTCTTCCACAAACAACCATATCTCAACTTCGAATAAAGATAGACCAGGAAAGATGCCCCCCAATTGTACTCATGGGTCCACTATAGATCCCAGAAGTATCATAGGTAAGCAATATCAATATAAGTGGCACTCGTGTCCACAAAAATGCAAGTGCCAACAAAATAAAGAAAGTATGCTCTCTGAGCATGCGTCTTGTGTACCGCCACCTGCTCAACATCACCATGTGTCTATAATGCTTTCTCGATCTCGGCCACATAGAGCTTCCTCAGGAACTCAAATATATCATGAACATCCATGGTCTTATCCACCTCCTCCATTGCATCCCCTTGGACCATCTCCTAGATGTTGTACCATCATCTTAAGTGCCTCGTCTCTAGTCATCCTCCTATGATCGAGGAATTTCCCCTAATCGAAAGATGCAACAAACACGAGACATCATCTAGTGTGATAGATATATCATCATGCGGGAGATGAAATGAAGAGGTCTTAGAGTGCCATCTCTCGACAAATGCATTAAGCATCCCGTGGTTGACCATAGTGTAACCGGTCATGCATATTTCCTTCAGACCAAATAAGGACAGAACCGTCTGAAACCAATCCTCCTCCTATTAAGGCAATGCAACAATCTTCCTTCCGTGGTTAAAAAACTTTTGAGGATCACACTCATAAATTTTGTCAGAAATAATCAATGTTAAGAATAATTAATGTCAGAAATTATCAATGTTAACAATTAAAGTTAACGTATACAAAAATAAAGAATCCAACTAATGCTACCTCTCAATTCCAAATATGTTTGACAATGTGGTCTGTATACAGAGGAAGTAAGGACAAATCATATGGACCTCTCCTCCAAAAGTCTTTGGCTCAACATCCGTAGCAGCCCCACCCTCAAGAGGTGGCACTGGATCAACAACATCATCAGTGGGATGTGGGTCTGGAACATCAGCATCATCCATAAGAAATGGCACTGGTGAATCTTGACGCATGCGGGAGGATGAGGGAAATGACGCGTCAGATGGCAAATCCCTTCTCCTTCGAGAAGAAGAAGAAGGTGGAGTGACCTGAGGTGAAACACAAGCCCTAAGAGTAGATGACACCCTAGAAGTCAATGCCTTTGCCTGATCATAGGTAGTTGGAACCTCTGAAAGCAGTTTGTTCCGATCCCTCCAAACGAATGCGTGCTGAGCAGCCTGCCATGTCTTAGTATGTAAGTTCTATTCGCCATTATGCCTGTAAGGTAAAGTAAGACATATGCACACAAACAACACACACAAGCGAGAAAATTTAAAAGAAAAACATATTGAAGGAAGTTCTGAAGATGCATCTTCGAAAACACCATTAAACTAAAACGCTGAACAATTCCGGAGATACATCTCCGAAATTCCCTAAAGTATATGAAACATTGAACATTTCCGGAGATGCGTCTCTAAAATGTTCTGCAACTCAGAAGTTGCGTCAATGACGAATGTACCACATACAACTTAACAAAAATACGATCTGATCACTAATTTCAACCAACAAACAAGTTATACACCAAGTATAAACTATGTTACATGTAATTCCTACACATTTGTAGCCCTAATAATTGATTTCTACACTTTTACACTAAAAATCTAAATTTATTAAAATGAGAGCTTGGATTGAGTTTGAAGACAAGTGTGAAATGAGGAAGGAAGAGAGTCTGACTTAACTTATCTTCCAAAATATTCTTGAGATATATTTCTAGAATATTTCAATGTTCACTTCTATTTAGGTACGTCTAAAGATATATCTTCGAAATCAAAAAATATTTGTAAAATTTTATAGTATAATATAGTAGAACTATTAAGAGTTTTATTAAAAATTCTCTTAAGTGTTTATATAAGTAAACAATCAGTAACGTCTTGTATTTTGGACTTATGTTAAATTTTAATGGGCTTGAGTTCTAATAATTATTTTCGAAGTTTTAATTAATTAATTAATTTTAAAAATTAATTATTAATCACTATCACGTCATTAAAAATATAATATTTTTGTTTAATTATTAATTAATTTTTAAAATAAAAGAATTAAAAGTTAAATAAATATTTCAAACTAATTAATTTTTAAAAATCATAGATTAAAATTGTATTTAAGCCAAATAAATATTTCAAACTTAAAAGATAGAAATAAATTTAATTGACTTCTTGTTCTAAATTGTAGAAAATGAGGAGAATGACTCAACCCACCAACCACGGTGCCATCGGTAAAGCTTCCTTCGCCTTCAACCGTACCATCCCTACCTAGGGTTTCTCATTCTCCCTCCATCGATGCTCTACTCCAACTCACCGGCAACATAAGTTGAAGATGTTTTCGTTTGTCACCGTGCAAGGGCTTCTCAACCGCTGGAACCTCCAAATAACCGTTACGCGGCCACCGCCTTGGCCGGCGACTCCAATAAACAGCATTCGCGGAGTCGTGAAGAGTTCGGCGAAGTCACCACACAGTCGACCAAACATTTCAACTGCGCATGAAGACTGCCTAAGGTTCTGGTATGTAGAGGTTCATATGCATTTTTCTTTTTATTTCCTTTCACATTGCTTCTTTCACAAATGTGCTACTGTTCCTTTATCTACTCTTGAAAGCAGTAAATTTACCTAGCTTAGCTACTCAATTCAATTCATTATTATATGTGTTTTGAAGTTGAAAATTATTGTATATAATGATAAAAGTTTTTAAAAAATTACTTTGCTTAATATTATTATACGAAATTGGTCTATTGCTATGAAGCACAGACACCGGAAACAGGACAACGACAGCGACTCGTCGATACCGAATAAATTTAATGTAATCACAGGTGTCGGTGTTGGTTTCTGACACTGACATTGAGACTTTTTTAAAGGTGTCAGTGGTGCTACATATGGTGTAAATAGACTAGAACAAAGTATTACTACATTTCACCATATTGATGATAAAGCCTTTTAAATTATGTTTTTAATGCGTTATTTTTAGCTATAGTTTGTGTGTAGGTTTTAGTTGGTAATCCTATTTCAGGGTAATGTGTGTTGTAATGAGCTAGAATAATTTATGTTATTAGCAATTTATGACCAAACAATAGATGATGAAATGAACACCGGTCAAAAAATGGTAAAAATTATAACAAACTAAAGCTAAGCAAAAGGTGGCAAGAGACCAAGGCATCTATTCAGAGAGATAGAGGTCCTTCTTTGTAGGAGATCATTGAGGAAAGACAGCAACGGTTACTTTTTAGTGTGCACCGTATTTTTCTTTTCTTTTTGTTGAGAATCCCTGTTATTCATCATCTCAGGTATCTTTTTCTCCATTCATCATCAATCAAAAATTAAAAAACAAAAACATAATCTCTTGCTTTTAGTTTCCTTTGCAACTTCAAAAGTCAAAACAAATACTTAATTCCCAACGTCTAAGAAATTTCCATATTTCTCAATCATTACGTATCTTCTTCAACCCTTCATAGGTGGGAGAATGTATACTAATGATGTTGAGCTTGATGATCTTAATAAAATTGACTTATCGGAAAAAAAGAAACCTTGAAGATTAGTAACCCGGTTTTAAGATTTTATATTTTCGGTTGAGTATGCAAGCATCTTTATTTGACACATTGAGATTTTTACCATAACATGTCTTTTCATACATGTGTTTTTGTTTTCAGGGGTCCCAACCATTGATTAAAAGTGGTGCTTCCGGCGGCGTGTTCATTTTGGACGTAGGACTTTTTGGCCGGAACCCTAAAAAAGTTCTTATTCATACATGTATCTGTGAGAAGATAAAAAGAGAGTAGGAACAATGTCTACCCCTGATAACTCCTCGCCGGATAACTCTACACCGGATAATTCCACACCTGATAATAGCACCCCTGATGATGCCGATAACTCTTCTTCGCCACCATCACAATCTCCACCACCACAATCCCCACCACCACAATCTCCACCACCACAATCCCCACCACCATCACCACCTGCACAATCCTCTTCGCCTCCTTCAGAATCATCTCCTTCACAACCACCACCATCACCTTCACAATCAGAACCTTCTCCTCCACCACCATCATCAAACAATCCATCCCCACAATCACCAAATACATCCTTTCAGCCACCAACGCCGGCAGGAGGCCGTTCTTCGCCAGGCTCCTCTGGATCCGGAAATTCACCATCGACCCCACAAAAATCATTACCAAATTCATCATCCGAAAATTCAGATGGTAATTCCAACTACCACGATAATAATAATACCAGTAAGGCAATAATTGGATCAGCAATTGGGGTGGGAAGTGTTCTTATCATTATAGCCGTCACATGCATTTTTTTATCCCGGAGGAGAAAAAGAAAGCAAATGTACTACTATGGAGATCATCCATCTCATGGAAAAGGTGCTAAAATCACAACCCTCTTCGTTTTTCTTTATGTATACATATAGGTGTCATATATTTGCAACCGTTCTGGAGGGAATTGAACTATAAGACACACTTAATTTTTATTCCAATAGAAGTTAATTTCTATCACTATATCCTTTTTCTCTCTTCAACATTTCATATTCTCTATATTCTACCACTAACATTTCTATATATAATGTAGGGAATAACAACTATTACAACAGCGGGCCACCCCCAAATTACTATGGAGGTCCGCACGGGGAACATGTTGTTAGGTTGCAAAATGGGATGGGTCCTAACGGAATGGGTCCTAACGGAATGGGTCCTAATGGAATGGGTCCTAACGGAATGGGTCCTAATGGAATGGGTCCTAACGGAATGGGTCCTAATGGTGGTGGCGGCGGTGGTGGTTGGGGTGCACATCCTCCAATGATGAACAGTGCAGACATGAGCTCAAATTACTCTAACGGACCACCAGCTTTACCTCCTCCATCACCAAGTCTTGCTTTAGGGCTTAAAGGAGGCACATTCACTTATGAGGAATTGGCAGCTGCAACCGATGGATTCACCAATTTGATAGGACAAGGTGGTTTTGGTTATGTCCATAAGGGTATATTACCAAGTGGAAAAGAAATAGCCGTCAAGAGTTTAAAATCAGGTAGCGGACAAGGAGAAAGAGAGTTCCAAGCTGAGATTGACATCATTAGTCGTGTCCATCATCGCCATCTTGTTTCACTTGTTGGATACTGTATTTCTGGTGGCCAAAGAATGTTGGTCTATGAATTTATTCCCAACTACACATTGGAGTATCACCTTCATGGTAAGTATTATGCGCACACTAGTGTAAATTGTGGCTAAAATTTGAACTTTTATATTACGATAAAATGTGGCCAATGTAGTTGAAGTTGTGGTTACTATGCCATTAAGGAGATTTCAAAATCTGCAATATTGTGATTCTGCGGACTGCAGTTTAAAACCATTTACTATGCTCTGCTTTAGTACTGCGCACGGGTTTGAGTATTCCTTGTTAACAGATTTAGTTTATCGTCAATGCAGGAAAGGGTCGACCTACCATGGATTGGCCAACTAGAATGAGAATTGCAATTGGTTCTGCTAAAGGGCTTGCCTATCTTCATGAGGATTGTGAGATCCTTGGTCCCTTAATATTTATGATCTTTCTCTTTTTATTTTTTTTAAATTTCTTTTCTCATTCTATATATTTTTAATTTATGTTATATATATTTGCATATGCACTCAGGTCATCCTCGCATCATCCATCGTGATATAAAAGCTGCAAATGTCCTCATTGATGATAGCTTTGAAGCAAAGGTTCAACCTTTTTATTTTATGGATTTCAACTATTTTGTTTTCACCCCTCATGTTAATGAACTTTTGTTGCTTAAACTAGCTCATTAATTAATTAAGCCATCATTGCATTCTAAAATGTAGGTTGCTGATTTTGGATTGGCTAAGTTGACAACCGATAATAATACTCATGTATCGACTCGTGTCATGGGAACTTTCGGGTAATTTTTGTTTTTCACAGTTGTTTATGTTATTAATTGTATCAATTTCAAAAAAATAAAATTAAAGGTTCTTTCTTTTCTCATTATATATAACATGGTTTGCTTCATACTAAATGTAATATGTATATTTTTTCTTGCTAACTTAGGTACCTAGCCCCTGAATATGCATCAAGTGGCAAATTGACAGAGAAGTCCGATGTTTTCTCATTTGGGGTCATGCTATTAGAACTTATAACTGGGAAGCGACCTGTGGATGCCACAAATGCCATGGACGACAGCTTAGTGGACTGGGTTGGTATTTGATTTCAAATCGATGATAACTCATCTTATGATGATTTTCTTTATCTCAATTAACTTTTGGGTTATTACTTAATTGTGATATGAGCAGGCTCGACCATTGCTAAACCGTGGACTAGAGGAGGATGGAAAATTTGGTGAGTTGGTGGATCCATTTTTGGAAGGAAATTACAATCCTCAAGAACTCGCCAGAATGGCAGCTTGTGCTGCTGCTAGTATTCGTCATTCTGCCAAGAAGCGTTCTAAAATGAGCCAGGTAAACTTATTATAAATCTACCTAAACCTCATTATAAATCTACCTAAACAATTCCGTCAATACAAATTGTCATATCATCACTATTTCAACGAAAATTGTCTCTTACCAAATAGTACTACTTATAAGTTTTATATCGACTATTATAATGTGATAATATAAGCTGTTCTAAGTTTTGATTTATGACTTCTTGTGTAGATTGTAAGATCATTGGAAGGAGATGTCTCACTGGATGACTTAAAGGAGGGAATGAAAGCAGGGGGCATCGCAGCTCATACCCCTTCATCTGGTAGTTCGGAGTACGACACAATGCAGTACAATGCTGATATTCAGAAGTTCAGAAAGGCTGTGTTTAACAGCCAGGAATATGGCACCACCAGCTTCTCTAGTGGCGAAGTGCCAAAGCCATGATAATCGTTTTAACGTGTTGTTGATCTTACATGTAGAAGGAATCAGAAGGGACGAAAATTCGAATGGGGTTGCTTTTGTTTAATATGTATTGCTTCCTTGTCATGGGAAGTAATAGCATCTCATTTTATGGAGAATCCGAGATTGAGGCTCTGTTTCTGAGTGTGTTGTGTAAGGCATAATTTTACACCACTGTTACATACTTCTTTGATTTGTTCACTGTTTCTTATATTATGTAATGTAATATGATTCTTGTGTGCTCGAATATACATAGGCATATCTTGGAATGAAGTGCATAAACATGGCTATAGTCTATAGTAATATAGTACTATAATTTAGTGATAGTGCCAATTTTATTTATTTTTGGACATATGTAGCACTCTGATCCATTTCGTATATATAATTTTTTACTAAAATTCTTAATCCACCTCCTAATAATATTAGGCACTCTCAAATTTCTAAAGTGCTAAATAGCATGAGTTATTTAGTAGTGTTTTTTTTTTCAAAATTAAGTTTTCATTTTCAAAATTTTCAAATTTTTTTTGAAATATCCTTCTGATAGTTTATTTTATTTTATTTTTTATTATTTTTTTAAAAAGTAAATGTGCTAAATAGAGAGTTATTTAGTGGATGTTTTTTTAAAGGCTAGCACAATTTTTTCAAAAAAGGATTTTTTTTGACATTGAAGAATGACACAGAGAGAATTTTTTAATGCACCCTAAACACTTCTTAGCTATCACGCAAAATTATTAAAATACTTGTAATTTTTAGAAATATATCTTCGGATGCACCTATTTTTGAATAAATGTTATATTTTGGAGATGTATCTCCGAAATAATTTAAAATTTTCAACATATTCCACTTAGAAGATATTTACATTTAAATTGTTTCAGAGATGCATCTCCATGAATATTTCGGAGATACATCTTCGAAATGTATCGGAACATGTATTTCATGCTATAAGTTGTTTATTTGTGTTCAGATGAAGTATAATGTACTATCGGAAAAAAAATAGTCGTACATAATTCCAGATGGACCAAAAATGTCATACAAAAATAAAACATTAATATATGTCGAAAATGTCCTACAATCAAAATCCAAAATGTAGTAATACTGTCAAAATAAAGTACAAACCATAGTACTACAAGATAATAGAAGACTGCAACCTTTCCTCTATCTCCTCTACCTCCTCGACCATCAATTCTCCTTGTCCTCTGGTGATGTCTTCGGTACAACAATGCCCCATGTGCCTCCGTCATGATGGCATCTAAGACTTGTTTGACATCAGACCCATCAGAGAAGATACCATCGTTAATACCTGCCTACGCAATCTCCATTATGCGACAACACTTAGGCAAGACATCATCAGTATGATTTAGTTGAGCATGTTTCTCCTCTAGTATCTCCTGATGAGTTGGTCTCGACGAATCTCCAGGAGTAGCATGCACCATGTACGAATGTGACACCCTGAAGAACCATATGATGTGCCCTTCGACGTAGCTCCAATCCCTATCAATTATGGTAACCCGTGCCTCTTCTGGTACCAAATGACTCTCATAATAATCAAACATCTCCTCTATCTGCCTATGTGTTAAGGCAAGAGGAGAAGAGACAGAAGAGTGTCTGAGAATAGCCTGAACGTAGTCGAACAACTATATGATGTGCTCTGGCAGATAAAGAGTAGTGAGACGCGACCCGCAAGTCAACCATCCAGAATATAACAACATTATCTCGTCAAAGGGTCGCGTCTGATAGTGATCAACATAGCTGTTAGAGTGCATATCCTCAGCAACAAAACGAGCAAGATATACTCTATAAGGCTCAGTCTCCTGGTTCTTTCTGAGCGAGATAAAAGCAATAGCACGCGACATATCATCATTATACTCAGGCACACTCATCCAACCAGATATGCGCGGTAAGTGGTGGAGGATCCAAGCCTGAAATGAAAAGTTTATAACACACAAATCATCACTAATGACTTTGCAAATAAGAAATGAAAATAAAAAACATTCAAATAGCAATAATTATTACTATCAATAGTGTCACGCTGCCCGTGACATGCTTCGTCTTCTACATACAACCCTATCTCAACTTTGAATAGAGGTAGACCAGGAAAGCCTCCCCTAGTTGTACTCATGGATCCGCTCGAAATCCAATAAGTACCGTAGGTAGACGACGTTAGTATAAGTGGCACTATTGTCCATAAAAACCGCAGTGCCAACCAAAAAAAGAAGTACTATCTCAATGCATGCGATCTGTGGATTGCCACCTGCTTATCATCACCATGAGCCTGCTTTGCTCTCTAAATCTCATCCACATAGATCTTCCTCAGGAACTCAAATATACCATGATCACCCCATGACCTATCCATTTCCTTCCTTAGATTACCCATCAGATACTCAACCATCATCTCGATTGCCTCGTCTATGGTAATCCTTCCATGATCAAGGAATCTCCCCCTGATCGAAAGATGTAACAAAAACGAGACATCTCACCATGCAGGAGATGAAACGACGAGGTCTCGTAGTGCCATCTCTCTACAAATGCATTAAGCATCCTGTGGTTGACCAGAGTGTAAGCGGTCATGCACAAGTCCTTCAGGCCAAATAAGGAAAAAACTAACTGAAACTAATCCGCCTCCTGCTGAGGCAATGCAACAATCTTCCTCATGTGGTTAAGAAACTTTTGGGGATCATGCTCCTGAAATTTGTCATAAATAATCAATGCCATGAATAATTAATGTCAGAAATCATCAATGTCAAAAATTAAAATTAACGCGAAAAATAAAGAATACAAGTAAATGCTACCTCTCTCGCCCCAAATATGTCTGGCAGTATGGTCTGGATACAGAGGTAGTAAAGACAAATCAAATGGACCTCCTTCAAAAGCCTCTAGCTTGACATCTGCAACAGCCTCACCCTCTGAAGGAGGCACTTGATCAACATCATCATCAGTAGGAGGTGGTACTGAATCAACACCATCATCCATAAGAGGTGACACTGGTGAATCCTGACGCCTATGGGAGGATGGGGAAAGTGGTGTATCAGACGGTGACTCTTGTCTCCTATGGGAAGAAGAAGGTGGAGTGACCTGAAGAGAAGCAGCACGAGCCCCATAAATAGACGACTCTGTCTAAACAGAGGGACCTAAATCCTTAGGAACCTATTGGCTATTCTCCCTCCGAACGGATGCGCCCTGAGCAACCCTACAAGCATCAATTTGTCATATATGCCAGCCATTATCTTTGTAAGTTAAAGTAAGGCATACCATTAGTGCATGCAAATAACAAACAAGCAATGCTTTTTTTAAAAAAATACTACAGAAAATTCCGGAGATGCATCTCCAGAAGCACCAGAAAACTAAAACGTTGAAAAATTCCTGAGATGTATGGAATTTCCTGCAGAAAATTAAACGTTGAAATATTTCGGAAATGTTATGCAACCCAGAATAGCGTCAATGGCGTAATGTACCACATGCAAGGTCAAAAAATTTGTTCTAATCACCATTTTCAGCCAACAAACAACAAATACATTATGTCTAAACAATATTAGATGTGATTTATACTCATTTATAACCCTATACATTGATTTCTACTCATTTATACCAAACCTCAAATGTTTATCAAAAACTAAAAAAAATTACTTGAAATTGATGATTTTGATGAAGTTGGATGATGTTATAGATGAAGAAATGTGATATAAGGAATGAGAAGAGTTTGACGCGACGTATGCTCCAAAATGTTACAAAGATGCATATCTGTAATATTTTAACGTTAACTTACATTTAAATGCGTCCGGAGATGCATCTTTAAAAATATGAGGAGTTTACGGAAATTCACATGGTGCGGTAGAAAGACTTAAGGTGCCATAAGAAATTCACTTTATAAACTACCAATTTACACAGTATCAAAAGAGGTTTTTTTTTCTAAAAATTTAAAGCATGAAAAATAAAATATTGGAAGGTTCCTTTCAAAAATGGTCAAAATTGAAAATTTATGAGGCCCATAAGATTATTGAGAAATATAAGTTAATATTCTATAATTAATTGAAAAAAGAAAATTTTACATCATATCTCATCATTTATTCTCCTACCTTTATATTATTTTGTTGACCAAAAACGCTTTTGATCTTACCGGTTGATCAGAACCTGATATGGGTCAAAGTCAATCGTCTGTGATGCTGGGTGTGAAAGAGGATGATGGGATGTACCTGCAAGGCACTCCGATGCTAAAGTAAGAAAACAAGCAAGAGAGCGAGCAAGTACATGATATGTGTGTTTCAGGGTGAATATTGAATACCTGACCCTCTCATTTGAGAGGGTTTTTATAATTCCCCAAGGGCTTGGCCATTGGTCCCTATTTTCGGGGCAAGATAATTGTTTCCTGAAGAATAGGTAAATGTCAGAACTAGCCGTTGGGACGGGCAGACGTCCCCATAACTAGCCGTTAGCACGAGCAGAAGTGTACTTACACGCACAAGCGTCTTAGCTTTTTCTGGATGTGGAACTGTGCGTGACAGGCAAAGATTGACGGGGAGAAGTGTTATGACCAAGGGCAAATAGGTCAACCTCCCCTATTGAAGGGGCAGAAAGATAAAATTTCCACCAAAGAGGTTGGACTTAGGCAATTGGGTCGTTTTGGGAGCAGAAGTGGGTTGGGTCAATGCCTAGCCATTGGGCCAGTCCGAAACAGTAGCCCCCAAAGTCGTTGCTACCGGGCACGATAGTGATGACTTAAGGATGTTCTGCTTCTCAGGCATAGTCGCCGTGAGCTTCCTTGTGTTCGGATGAATACTTGCCCGGGCACCAGAAATATGGTTGTTGGGGAGCTTGGGATCTAGGGAGCCCAACGGTTGATGGGATCTGAAGAGTGAGGATGCCACATATGCCTCGAGCCGTGTACTGCATTAAATGCGTGATGATGGCTAGGCTAGGGTCATGATGATGCCCTACCCGCGTGTGCTCGTGCACATGCCTATCATTTGCCTATAAAAAGCGATAGGGTT